CGGGCACGCTTTTCTCTCTGCCCGGCGCGGAGGTGCCGCGCGTAGCCTGTGTGAGAGACGGGAGCTTTGTGGATCACTAAAATCGACGACCGGGGTTTTTCGATAAAGTGTTACCGATTGGTGTTAGGGGTCTCCTGGTTCCTGGTGATGAAAGCTTTGAAAAGCCAGGATAAGTGTTACCTGTAGCTTCATTTTCCACAAAGTCTACTTGCTCGTTAAGATGAGGTCAGCGTTGCCTGAGCTGCTAGGTAACGTCGCGGTATTCTTGTCACATTTGTGAGAAGTGATGAGCTTAATGGTCAGCTGAATCTATTTTTTTTAATCCTCGAGTTTAGTATTCTAAGAGACTTGAAACTGTTTTTAAGTTTTCCAACTCTCTGTGTGCGGAAGAACATAGTACCTTTCACAATGCTTTCCAGCATACTTATTATTTATTCAGAGTAGTAAATAAATATAGATATATCTATGTATGACTAAAATGAAAAGCTAGCTTTTTAAAATACTGATGACAATTTAACTTTTTGTATCTGTTCAACCTACACCTTTTTTAGAGAAAAGAGTTAATTCTTTTTTAAAAGCCGGGTCATGTTGTGTGTAAAGACTGTAACCATGGTTTATGAAAATAGATTTCTGTTTTTCAGGAAAAATTAGATATGTCAACATATCCTGTTGAAAGCATTAGAAACTTCAGCATTATAGCTCACGTAGATCATGGCAAAAGTACACTGGCAGACAGATTGTTGGAGATCACAGGTCAGTGTTTGCATTTTATACTACATTTTCTTGACATGTAAGCCTCTGTGCCTTTGATTATGACTAAAATTTCTAATGTCTTTGCTCTTCTAGTTGCAGTTTGCTTGTACTTTCAGGCTGCTAGTTGTGTAGTGTTACAGATGTGAATATGATGGACTAACTTTCTGGTTGAGATCTGCCTGCAGGTAGGGGTAAGGAAGTGTGTCATTCATTCAAGGTTAAGTATGGATTTTAGAAAGAGACTGAAAAGGAGTGCACTTCTTGTTTAACACGCTGCTCCTGTCGTTCCTGACCAATTGTCTGTTAGACCAGTACACAGCAAGTTTATGATGTTTGCTACCAGTGTTTGGGGTGAACAGAAGGGGGCTGTCATGACCTTGGAATTCTGGACAGAGTTGTGCTCAAAAGTGTGACTGAAACAGGGAGAAACTTCAGCTGCTTGTGCTTAGGTGAAAGTAATGATGTGTCCTCTTGTGAGCAAAGCGTAAACAACTGCCTTTCATGGTGGTGAAGCTCACTGGTGCCAAAGCTGATATGCTGCATAGTAAGTTTTAGAAATGTACAGCCCTATGTTGATTTAGATTTAGAGTGTAGAACAACTTCTAGTAATGAAGTGTAAATTCTGTGCATTCTCAGCTGCTATATAGACTTGCTTTTTCCTTTATTCTAAGTATTGGTGAAGTTGTGTGGCTGTAATCTTCAGAGGTATTTATTTTGTCCTCATCAGAGTGCTTCTTGGACTTCAGTGTTTTTATTTCTGTGTTATTGTTGAGAATAAGGAAAATTATCCCCCTTTTAAAGTAAAAGTGAGAAACAGAAGTGTTAAGGGATCTTCATAATTGTAAGTGACCCTGAAACTAGGCTTTGCTTGGAAGAAAGAGGCAGAGATTACTTTAGAGGGTTCTCTAAAGTAAGCTGTAAGCTCTCCCAAGAGGAGACTAATTTCAGGGCAGAGCTTAAATTAGCTATTCAGAAATACCTTTTGGAGGTATCTTGCTCTTCTCATGTAAGGGGTGAGCAAAACAAAACCCGGGAGAGAAGCTTTTGATCAAAGATGTTCTTTATGATTACCTCTTATGTGTCACTATGGCCAGTTTTACCTGTGATTCGAAGATCCGGTAGGAAAAACCTAACAGTACAATGTATACTGTTAAGCAGGTATTCTTTATTGCAGCGCCGGCCACACGGGGGATTTCTCCTCCAAACGTGTGCGCCAGACACCCTGTTGCTTCACGTTAAATACAATCACATATGTAAATATTCATTATATTTTTAAGAACTAATTAGTATATGTAAATATCTTTCACGCATGTCTGTTAGCATCTTTGGGTGGTCTTCGGGGGTCCCAAGATGAAGGCCCATCCTTTTCATCACGTTGTTCACTGACTGACATCTGTTTCTGTGCAAACTCAGTTCTAGGATCACGTACATCATGTCCTTCAGGGTGTTTGGTTCTAGTCTTGTTGGTCTCTTGGTGCTTCCTTATCTCTGTAGCTTGGCGCATTTGCCCTTCCAAGGCCGAGCTGTCTGGAGTAGAATTATTTAGGAATCTCTTTTATCCTACAATTATCCCAATTATTTGCTGAGAACCAAGACCACTTTTGTTTCACTTAATTATTTTGTCTTAACGACTAAGTGATAGCTTGTGCCCATGTCCTTCCACTACATTCTTTAATGAGAAAACAGGGATTAGTGTAACAGTTACATCATTAGATCACTATGCATGCAGGAATACAAGTTACAGTACTAAAGACTACTAAAAACTAGAAAATATTAAGGCTTTTTTGTTATAGTTTCATGTTTCTTACAATTCCCTCTATCATCTGATGCCTGTGGTAGAATGGAGTTTTGAATTCGGGTCTGTCAAGCTCTGTAATAATGCTCTTTTTGCACTTGAGATGGGGACTGGTTGGAGCCGGGGCCATGGAGCTGCTCTCCAGGGACAGGAGGTGAATGTTCTTTAAACGTCAGAATTATTCAGCACCGAATGGAATCTTCGCAACTTCTTAATTTCTGATTTAGACTTACATCATGTTTTCTATCCTGCTTATTCAGTAATGTATTTTATATAACTTTGAATGTAAAAATTTATTTAAGAAATTTTAAGAGTTGAAGCATAATTTTAATTTTAAATGAAAATCTAAGTTTAGCTTAATTGAATGGAAAAGCTTAATCTGCAGCTGCAAGTCCCTTGTTCTCGTGGTTAATGGAATTTTCAAGAATTATTTATTTTGAGAGCTAATGTGCTAAATGAAGTAATAAAACTGTTTTTCTTATCTTAGGAACAATCGCTAAAACTGACCGTAATAAGCAAGTGCTGGATAAACTGCAAGTGGAACGTGAAAGAGGAATTACAGTTAAAGCACAATCTGCATCTCTCTTTTACAATCATGAAGGAGTAAATTACCTTTTAAATCTTATTGACACGCCAGTAAGTTAAGTATAAACAGTGTTTAAATCACACAAAGCTAAAAGTCTTTATATTTAAAAAGTCTTTATATTTAAAAATGGGATATTTCTGGCTTCTTGTGTTTATTCAGGTTTTTTTTTTGTAAGAATTGTGAACATACGTACAAATGAAGACATCTTAATACGGAAATCTTTGCAAAAGACGGTAGAAATACCTGAAATAGTAAACATTTATTTTCTCCACAGGGCCATGTAGATTTCAGCTATGAAGTATCACGATCACTGTCTGCCTGTCAAGGTGTCATACTTGTAGTGGATGCAAATGAGGTGGAGCTCTTAATTCTTGTTTTCTATTTAGAATTTTGGCAATTTCTTTAAGCAAGCTAGAGAAGTTAGGGGGTTTTTTATTTTTTCGTCAGCGTTTTTGCTCCTGGTCTGTTTTTTTGAGGTACCTATTATGATCTTGGCTATTCAGAAGTAAATAATACACACAAAAATATGTACTTGGTGCATAATATATGTATAATACTGTGTTACCTATAAATAATTCCATGTAAGTGATCACACACATAGCATTATTAGTTTGTTGACTAATATTTACATTATGAGAAATGATGACTAGGAATGTTGTTTTCTTTCTCTGCAATGTGTATAATCAATAACCTTTACTTATTTTCCATCCACCAAATGAAGGACTGGATAGAATAGTGAAGTAATCTTATATTGTATAGTATGCCTTACCAAAAAAAAAAACCAAAACCCCACACACATTAAAAAAAAAAAAAAACAACAAAAAAAACCCAACAAAAAAACCCCAAACAAAAACAACAAAAAAAATCCCACCAAAACTCAGGAAGATTCCATGGTAAATTTTTTTAATGCTTGTTTTCTAGGGTATTCAGGCTCAGACAGTGGCAAACTTCTATCTTGCTTTTGAAGCACAGCTTGCAATAATTCCTGTCATAAATAAGGTAATAAAGGTTTTAGAGTTTCATATTAAATAGTTGGGTTGTTTAAACGTGTAGAAGGTTGATAAGAAATGTATCTTCAAATAGAAGTATATAATGAAAAAATGAATATAATAAGAACTTTGTGTATTTGCTATCTGCTTAGTATTTTACAGTAAGTGCTTGGAACTTCTGTTTTTATTTCATAAAATGGAGAAGCATTTTACAAGCAGCACTGAAAACTATTGTTGGAGTATGTATGGTAAATTGAAGTCAGAAGCATTGTGGAAGTTGTATCTTGATAAGGAAATCTGAACCACTTACAGTTTGCAAACAAATAAGCTTGAAGCAGACAAGGGCTATGGTATGAAAAACAACTGACCACTTAAGTGATACTCAGTACTGTGTATTTTACCCTAATGAGAACAAGCTGAAGCTGTGGCATTCCAGGGTTTCAAATTGACTCAGTCAATTAAATACAGCTGAGAGTGTTTAGCTGGTACAGGCATTTGGGCATGAATGGTCAGAAAGTTGCAGATTAACTTCTGTGTTCTCTGCCGTGCTCCAAGCAGGTTGGTTGTGATGCGGCCTTTGGACAGCCTCCATAATCCAAGGGGAAATGGTTAGCAACCTGCTACACCACTTAGACACACACAGGTCTTTGGGGCTGGATGGGATCCACCCAAGGGTACCGAAGAGGTGTCCCCAAAGCCACTTTCAATCATATATCAGCAGTCCTGGCTAACTGGGGAGGTCCCAGTTGACTGGAGGTGAGCGAATGTGGTGCCCATCTACAAGAAGGGTTGGAGGAGGATGCCGGGAACTACAGGCCTGTCAGTCTGACCTCAGTACCAGGGAGCTTATGGAACAGTTCATCTTGAGTGGCATCACATGGTGCACACAGGACAACCAGGCGATCAGGCCTAGCCAGCATGCCTTTATGAAAAGCAGGTCCTGCCTGACTAACCTGATCTTCTTCTGTGACAAGGTGACTTGCTTAGTGGATGAGGGGAAGACTGTGGCTGTTGTTTACCTAGACTTTAGTGAAACCTTTGACACTGTTTCCCACAGCATTCTCCTGGAGAAACAGGCTGCTCATGGCTTGGACGGGTGTACTCTTCACTGGAACTAACGGGTGTGCGGGGCCAGTTAGCCCAGAGTCTGGACGAGTCCAAGAGTCGTGGTGACTGGAGTTAAATCCAGCTGGTGGCCGGTCACGAGTGGTGTTACCCAGGGCTCAGTTTTGGGGACAGTTCTATTTAATATCTATCAATGATCTGGACAAGGGGATCTAGTGCTCCCTCAGTCAGTTTGCAGATGAAACCAAGTTGGGTGGGAGTGTTGATCTGCTTGAGGGTAGGAAGGCTCTGCAGAGGGATCTGGACAGGCTGGATCGATGGGCTGAGGCCAACTGTATGAAGTTCAACAAGGCTCAATGCTGGGTCCTGCACTTGGGTCACAACAACCCCATGCTACAGGCTTGGAGAGGAGTGGCTGGAAAGCTGCCCGGCAGAAGAGGACCTTGGGGTGTTGGTCGACAGCTGGCTGAACATGAGCCACCAGTGTGCCCAGGTGGCCAAGAAGGTCAATGGTATCCTGGCTTTGTATCAGGAATAGTGTGGCCAGCAGGAGTACGGAAGTGATCAGGCCCCTGTACTTAGCACTGGTGAGGCCGCACCTTGAGTATTGTGTTCAGTTTTGGGCCCCTCACTACAGGAAGGACATAGAGTTGCTGGAGCGTGTCCATAGAAGAGCAAAGACAACGGTGAAGGGTCTGGAGAACAAATCCTATGAGGAGGGGCTGAGGGAACTGGGATTGTTTGGTCTGGAGAAAAGGAGGCTGAGGGGAGACCTTACTGCTCCAACTTCCTGAGAGGCGGTTGTAGTGAGGTGGGTGTTGGTCACTCTTCCCAAGCAGCAAGTGATGGCACAAGAGGAAATGACCTCAAGTTGTGTCAGGGGAAGTTTGGATTGGATATTAAGAAAAATTTGTTTACTGAAAGGGTTATTGAGCATTGGAGCAGACTGTCCAGGGAAGTGGTGGAGTCACCATCCCTGGAGGTGTTTAAAAGACATGTAGACGTGTTGCTTAGGGACATGGTGTAGTGGTGGAGGTGGCAGTGTTAGGTTTACAGTTGGAAATGACCCTTAAGATCATCGAATCCAACCTAAATGACTCTATGACTCTCCTGCTTTTTGAAATACCAGATTTTTAACAGTTGTGGTTTTCAAATTGGAAATTACAGATGTGAGCGATTTGGAAGGCTGTCAGTGTGAGCTTAGGTTGTCTTGTATTTATATGTATACACTTGTCTTAGCCAGGTATAACTTGTATAATTTGTGTCGCTTCTCAGCTGACTCTTTAACCTGAGAACACTTAAGACTCCGATCTGTGCATAGGATGGAATTACATAGTTTGGGATATATGTCACAGTCTTATAACACATCGTAATTTAAATGCACCAGTTCGTGAACACTGGAATTCCTTCCATTTAAAGTATTTTTTTCTGGTGAATCTTCTGACTGGCTTTTTACAGAAATAACTTTAAAGGTTCTTGCTATGATAATCCGTATAGTCCTTCATTTGCTTTAGTGGTTTTTTTTTCTTCTTTATGTTAATGATGATGCACAGAGGAGATTATATGAGTAGCAGCTCAATATTTAAAAAGTGTAGTCTTTGCTTTAATTTTAATCCAAAGTTGTGGGTTATATGATGAGAATCACAAGATTAGTTATTGCTCAGGTTAAATCAATTGCTTTTTGTAGATGTGTATTGTACTTAATGTTTGATCCTGTAAACAGTATAGGTAGCACTTATGCTTTCAAATTACTTTGTAAAATATACCAGCTCTTGGACAAAGGTGTTCTGTTTAATGAAACAAACAAAAAATAGTCTAGTTACAGAGGGGATCCTTCCTGCAGACAAGCAAGGAAGACTTTTTTTAAAATTAATCTTGAAAAAGATCTTTTCCTGAAGACATCCAGTACTTACTCCTAAATACATAAAGACTCCTTGACTTGTGTATTTGGAAGCTACACTGCTGGATCATATGGAATATATGGTTGCCTGTATATTTAGCAGTTTGTTGGTTTCAGATTGACTTGAAGAATGCAGACCCTGAAAGAGTTGAAAAACAAATTGAGAAGCTGTTTGATATCCCTATAGAGGAGTGTGTAAGGGTAAGATCTCTTAAAGTTTTATAACATGGCTGAGAGTATAACTCTGTCTACTTTCTAGGTAATGAAAGACATACATGTAGTAAATCAACAGAGTGTCGTGTGTCTAACTGTCTTTGACTGACGTACATGAATTTCTTTAAAGATTTTCTCCTGGAAAACAAGAGTGGAGAACATACTTCTCGGTTAAAAATTCTAGTATGTCTTGATGAATGGCATCAGATAGATTTTAAATTGTTTCTTATTGTGAGTCCATAAATTGTTTTCACTTCTACCATAGCAATAATTGTCATTCAGGAAAGGAAAAAAAAATGTTAGAATAGTTTATAATCAAATCAGCATTTCATAGTAATAGCATTCTAAAGTGTGCTTCATAGTGCTTTTATGGATAGTATTATGTGTGGCCACCAAAACTGTCTTGAGTAAACGTGACACTGTTTAATACCGAATGAGTGTTAAGACATGTCTTACGAAATTGTTGTTGGACTTGTTTTAGATTTCTGCTAAACAAGGAACAAATGTTGAAAAAGTTCTTCAAAAAGTCATTGAGAAGATTCCACCGTAAGTCTGTATTTACTTCCAAAACCTTGTAAGGTTAATTAGGAAGCCATGAGTTGCATTTATATATTATTGGCAGTAGTTTTGCGCTTAATCTGATTTAAAATCAATACTTTATAAAGAGATGTGGGAGAAATCTAATGTCAGAACTGTTAAGTCAGTTTCAAATTGCAAAACAGAGAAAAATACACTTCGGATTTGAGATGTCTTTTAAAAATGTGTGAATGTCGGCAGAGAAGACTTCTTTATTCTTAAGAAGTGGGAGAGGAAAATTAATTCAGTCTGAAATGAGAGATGAGCTACTAAAGGTGATGCTTTTATGACTGTTTATGTAGCTTCCATGAAACTCAGTGTTTGAGGATGTGTGCTGTTACTGCTTTTGAACATTGCATTGCTAAAATGATAAAGGCAGTAGATATCTGCTGTGTTCAGAGTTTCATATCCTGAACCCAACCTTTAAAATAGGGTTTTATCTAAGAACTTGATGACAAAGCTACTAAATTACAGGTCAGTTTCAATCAGCATATTGCTTTTCATTCTTTTTTCCTACTATTAGGTAATAATTGTAGTCCTCATATTAGTTAAAAGAAACCAAAATTAAAACCCAAGATTACATTTCCATGAAAGGTGGCAAAATCAAAATATCAGTCGACTTTTTTTTAAACTCAGAGGTTGGAATGTACCTGTTGAATTTTTGTTGACCCTCATAACACGGTATTTTAAGCATCAGTTTCACCTGTTGTGAAATGGGTATGATGGATATACATATGGTTTTGTTCTATTTGTACTGCTATTGCACATGGGGGAAATAAAATCTAAATATTTGCTGCACAATACATAGTGAAACACTGAAACAATGTCTGATACGTGTTTACTGAAAATTATTTGTTAGTTTTATCTATATTAATCTGAAAGTTTTTGGGATGGGGCTGCTTGCTTATTCAATATTGAATTAAAAACACACTGCTTAATACATTGTTTTATATTTTTTGTGACAGACCCCAATGTAATACTGTTGATCCATTGAAAGCCTTAGTATTTGACTCCACCTTTGACCACTACCGAGGCGTAATAGCTAACATTGCACTCTTTGGTGGAGAGATTCAGAAAGGGCATAAAATTGTGTCTGCGCACACAAAGAAAAGATACGAAGTTAATGAAGTTGGAATTCTGACTCCAAATGAACAGCCAACACATACGCTGTAAGTAAAAATTTCTTACAGTGGAACAAATCATAAATTGGTGTAAGATACAAACTCCTACATTTATGTTTGATTTTTGCTCTGATTGGTGAAGGCTGGGAGATGTCTGGGTTTTATGTTCTTGTTCTTTGGTGGTGGGGTTTTTCTACGGTTATTATTTGTAATTTAATGCTCAATGTCAGTCTTTTTCATTTTGGGCATGCTGAGGCAGAAGCTTTTGGGGACTGCTTTCTGGGCACTGCTAGGGGAAGGAGGCCGTTCTGTCATCTGTAGTACATGGAATATCTGGACAGCTAGTTTTTTAAGACTAGTGTTTGATATTCTTATTCAGCTGTCCAATTTATTTCTAGGAACTACCTTGTTTGAGAGTGGAAGGGAATGGGGCTTCATCTTAGTTATTGCTCTAGCATATTTTGAGGGTGGAAAACTTAAAATCCATGAATGCAACAGCTTCCAGAAACTGGCTCCTCATGGCAGCAGTGGGAAGAAAATCAGGTACTTAGAATTAGTGGAGAAGCTTTATCAGTTTGCATCCAAGTATGTGTTAATTACTCCTGGGAGATTCTCAGGGACACTTACTGTGTGTGGTGGGTTGAACCCCGACAGCAGCTAGCACCCAGCCAGCCACTTGCTCACTCTCCCAGCCCCAGTGGGATGGGCGGAAGAGCAAAAGTGAGGAAAGACTCACGGGTCGAGATAAAGGCAGTTTAATAAGTGAAGGAAAAAGACAAGAAATAAAAGCAAGCAATGTGAAGGCAATTATCTTCCACTCACCACCTCCCACAAGCAGACCAATGCTCTGCTAGTCTACAAGTAGTGGCCACCTTGAAAAGACTGTGCTCCTTGTTTTTTATTGCCAAGCATGACATTGTATGGCACAGAATATCCCTTTGGTCACTTTGGTCCTATGTGCTGGCCAGAGTGAGAAACAAAGCATTCATGCTGTACAAGCACTATTCAGAAGTAGCTAAAACACTGGTACGTTATCAACACCGTTTTAGTCGCAAATCCAAAATGCAGCACTATACGGGTCTGCTATGAAGAAAGTTAACTCCATTCCAGCCAAAACCAGTACACTCTGTTTTACTCTTTACCTACCATGGGTTCTTCTCCTAACAGCGTTACGTGCTGATGCAAGGCATTTGTCTTTTGTTGTTTCTGCTTCTTAGTATATGAAACTTGCTGTGGTGACAGCTGAGAACTGTTCTGGTTCTTATATCCCTGAGAAATTCCTTCTAGCTCCAGCTTTCAAACTGGGCGTAGCATGGAATTCAAAATCCAGAACTGTAAATGTACTGTTTAACAGTAACAGAGATAGTCAACAGATAGTTTGTCACTTGAGACAAAGTTCACAACTCAGAGGAGAAAGAACTTAAATCTGGCTTTTGGACTGTCTGTGGGCTTTCAGGGGGGTGATGTGTTTGAATTTCTGACTGAGCTAAGTCAAGTGGAAATACTGATAATGCTGAGAAGCATGTCCATATAATGCCAATTTTATTTAGATATGCTGGACAGGTGGGCTACCTGATTGCTGGAATGAAAGAAGTAACGGAAGCCCAAATAGGAGACACACTGTTTTTGTATAAACAGCCAGTGGAGCCTTTGCCTGGCTTTAAGTCAGCGAAGCCAATGGTTTTTGCAGGTGAGGAGTAAACTGATATAAAGTGGAATTACTTCTTTCCAGTAACGAGAGCTGTTAGCGCTTTTAAAATAATATGTGTATATTAAGAGTTGTGAGGATCAGAATTTTAGGAAAGTTAAGCTACAGAGGCATATAATTTATATAGCTTTGTGTAATTTTTCCCTGTGACTTAACAGAAAGGATTAATAATAGTTGCAGACTGGTTTTACATGAATATAAGACTAACACATATTTTTAGCCATAATTATTGCTTCTAATACCAGTAAACTCTTGACAGCTGGAAAAGAAGGATTGAGAATTTTAGAAAGTAAGTCAATTTTGGGGAATTTGTCATTTTGATAAATAGGTTTCCATAATTATTGTGATTTTTTTTTCTTTTAACAATAAGCAACTGTTTCATTAAACATGGTAAACTGCCAAAGCTAATACTCGGAATGATTCTGTAAAATATTTGACTTTTTAAGCTTAAATAGTTCTGCTGAACTGTTTCCGTCAGCTTCAGTAACAACTACAAATACTGTAGAAGATGGCTTTAGAAAGAAATAAATTCTGTAAATCCCTTTCTAGACTTGTGAGGCAGTGTGTAAAACTCTCTTGACCTGTCTCATTGAGATTAGGTGGTCTGTCAGTGAATAATAGAACCGTGTAATCCTGTAAATAAAGTTTTTTATGGACATGGGTTGCTTCTTGGTGTAGAGCAATCAACATTTCCTGAACACATGGTGATGTGAAAAGTGATGCAGTAGAATCTCTACAGACAGCTGCTCATATTCATTTAAAAAATATAGAAACATTTGCAGCTTTCTTAGGACACTTTTTTTTTGCCGTTCAGTCATACCTTTGAAGGAACATCTCAGTGAAGTTTGTCTGCTTATTCATTTAAGCTTAAGCTATATGTTTACACTGCAGCCCTGCAAAACAATGGTTATACTTAATTGTGCATCTTTAACAACTTTGAAGGATTAGATGAATACAGTATCCCTGCCATTATGTGTTGAACGTTAATTCCTGCTTTTCTGACGTAGTCTAAACTTTATTACATTTTAACGGGGGGGGGAGGGGGAATTCCTTATTGTTTTTCACATTTTAAAGTTAGAACAGAAAGTAAGTTATTTCTGACTTCACTGCTGTGTTCACTGTAAGAGGCATGTTTGAAAGCTAAGTATACGCTAGATAAAGCTGTCTATCACATCAATTCTATCTAATATGTTTTGGCAGGAATGTATCCTGTAGATCAAACAGAATATAATAATCTCAAAAGTGCATTGGAAAGGCTGACATTGAATGATTCCAGTGTAACTGTTCATCGTGACAGCAGCCTTGCCTTAGGAGCTGGATGGAGGTGGGGCTTTTACACTGCTTTCATTTTTGGAACGGTTCATAAATTGAGAATGTGAGTTTAAATCAACTGAAACTTGAATTAAAATCAATTCAAGATGAGGAGCTTTAATTCAAATTAAAGACAAGTAAAGATCAAAAGCATTTGATTTTCTTAAGTTCTGTAGTTGTGCAAAGTATGCAATTTGTTGTAATTGATAGGTGTTGTTCTCAAAGACTCATACTACTCAACTGTAGGATCGTTTGGTCTTCTGGAGATTGCTTGCCTGATCTTGCCAGACTAGCATTGTAAACATGCTGGGGGCGGGGAATCCACTGTGAAATTCCAGGGGTTATACAAATACTTTTATCAAGGGGATATTTTTTTTCCCAGGTTGGGTTTCCTTGGTCTTTTACATATGGAAGTTTTTAATCAACGTTTGGAGCAAGAGTATAACATGTCTGTTATTTTGACTGCACCTACCGTTCCATATAAAGCTATTCTTTCCTCAGCAAAGTTGATAAGGGTATGTTAAATTTATTACAGCTTTATGTAAATAGCAGCTTAAAAGTCTCCTATAATAAACAGGTACGCTTTTTTTTTTTTTAAATGTAGACTAGTACTTTATTTCATGGCAAACATCAGAAACATCAATATATAAGTTAAAACTTGTTTTAATGTTTTGGGGGAGGGGTGTTTTGGTTGGTTGTTTTTTTTTTTTAAAGAACATTAACGTTCCTTCCCTCTTCCACTTCAAGCACTCTCTTTTTACTTCTTATACCTGTCTTCGAAAGTGGGAATAAAGGACACACTTTTTTGCTGTATTCTTTTAAGTGCATACTGACTGGACTGAGTTTAAATCAGGTGAAATAATCTTCCAGGTTTTATCTGTCAGAAAACATCAACATTTTTAGGAATAGCTCATCATGCTACTGTAGACTGGCAGGGGCTGGTGACGACAAGTGAGTTTTTGATCACAGTGAGATATGCATGTGCAAAAAAATTACTGTGCTTGAGAGAGAGAGAGAGAGAGGTGGACTTATGAGCACCTGCTGAAAGGGGGCTGCAAATAGGCTGGCTCATTATTATCCAGCATGTACCTCTAGACACTACAGAAAATCTGTAAATTCCAAACAGCTTGTATAAGAGAGTTTGCTGTACTTAGGTGTAAGGCATAGACCCTGCTTCTCTCCAGTTGTTTTGGTTTCTTGCTTAGGCAGTGTAGCAGCTAAGAAAGAAGTAGTTGACACCTTTGGTGCATAACTGATTCTGGATTGTTGATGTGGGACACTGTTTTCAAACAGTGTTGGATGTTGGGTCATTGTTCAAGAACACTGCCTTGTCAGTGGAAGTGATATAATCACTTGTTTTGGTGTGTGTGTGAGGTTATACGTACCTGATAAGAAGCATGAACTTCCTTTTATTCTTACTTCAGAAGGATAACTCCAGCCCCTGTTGGGATGTTGGACTATAAGAAATAGGTAATGGAAGCACTTGCACAGGAATCGAAAATTTAATTTCTAAGCCCACTTCAGCCCGTAAGGGAGCCCGAACCCAAAGTTCTGTTTAGAGAAGAATGTACCCATCACCAAACTGCAGAATACTTGGAGCAGGTGTTCTGTTGAAGCTGTGCCTTACACCTTATAGGATTAGGATGGAGTAAGAAGGAAGATAAGAGAGAGATGGAAAGATGGACAGAAAGGCTTTTTTATTTCTATGAATAACCCTAGATTGTAGTCCTAGTTCCAAGCACTTCTTATTTTTAAAATTCACTGGATAAAATGCTTAAAAAATATTTTCCTAGTCAAAGTAAATTTCTAAAATCTTTCTATATAATAATATTTAAAGATAAGCAGATTGGGGACTTCTGTATGTGATGTAGAAATCTCTCTTAAAATTGTGCTTGGTGCAAATTTGAGTTGTGTAATTCACAAGTGTTTCCAAGCAATCGAAACATTTTCTAGCATTTTTTCAATGCTATTTTTGTCTCCGTTGCTATTCAGTCAACTTATTTGTAAAATTACAGTTTCTGTTTTATTTGTTTGTTTTCAGGAGTATGGTAAAGCAGAGATTACTATTATCAACCCTGCTCAGTTTCCTGATAAACTTTCAGTATCTGAATATTTAGAGCCAACTGTTCTTGGTACTATTGTAACACCTCATGAATATATTGGGAAAATAATTGCTTTGTGTCAGGTTGGTATATAGTTTTAGTTTTGTCATTTGCATTCTTAAGCTCTTCATATCATACTCAAGAGAGATGATAGATAAGATACTAGATATTAGTACTTACATAGTATCTTTGACAGTAATTATAAAAATATTTTTTATTTCAAGAGTATTTAAACTTTGTGTAAAATCACTTCTGAACTACAAAATCCTTATAGTGAAAGTTAGTGATGAAGCTCAGTGACAATAAAATACATAGTCAAGCATCCTGCACTAGACAAATTCATAGCTAGTTCTGTCTTCCAGAAAGAATGGAATGTGCAGCAAATAATTATACATTTAAAAGGCAGCAGTAAGCTGAATCTGTGAAGGATTTCAGAAGTTCAGCTTTTAGAGAGGATAGACTTGAATCATTTGTCCAGTTAAGTTACAAGCACTTTATCTGTCATGGTGCTGCAGTTTGTTTGGGAGTTTAGCAACCTACCAATAAGAAGGTTTGGGGCTTGAAGTACAGGAGTTCTCTTGTGTAACTGGATAGCTGTTTATTTTAATTTGCTTTGTATTTATTTGTAGAAAACTTCTGTCGAGGGCAACTGAAACAATTTTTATTTGTCTAGGATCGTAGGGCTGTCCAGAAGGATATGTTGTACATTGATGAACGAAGGGTTATGCTAAAATACCTGTTTCCACTGAATGAAATTGTGGTGGATTTTTATGATGCTCTTAAGTCTCTGTCTTCTGGTTATGCAAGGTAACAACTACCTCCCTCGTACCCCCTTTCCCTTTCCCTTTCCCCTCCCCCCCCCCCTCCCGAGCCTGGGGAGAGGAACAAAAGAAGATCTGAGGAGAAGATACGGAAGGGCACAAGGGGAGAATATTCTTCTATGATGGTGCTGCAAACTGAGTCTTCTTTCACCTTTAATGAATTAGATTCACCGTGCAAAACACTAAAAGTGCATCACTATGTAATAATAATTTTCTTGGTGATGCATGTATTTTACAAGTGTGACATATAGAGCAGCACTTACTCATCTAGATGAGCAAGATCTAGGTGGTTCCTGTCTGAAGTGATAATGGGCACTTTCTGTCAAGGGAATCACTGAAAACTTACTTCTCACTGTATTGTCTCTTGGTGGAAAAGGGAAAGTAACCAAATACTGATTCTTTAAAGCTAGTAAAAACAATCAGCAAACTGTATTCCGATAATAAAGCATGTAAGTAAAGTAAGTGTTGCTTGTTTAAAATAAAGTAACTCATCTGTATTTTGAGACAAAATGTTCTGCTATGGGTGGGTTCTATAAATTCAGAGGTTAGAACCATGCTCAGCTGTTTGTGAAGTGCCTTTGTGAGTTTAGTGGAAGATGTTGCACAGTAGATGAGCTTATGCCACAGGAGACTCAACAGCTCTTACAAACCTGGTATGTAGAGATGTTGTTAGTAAGATAGATTACATTTTAACAGGAACTGGTATGCCTAATTACATTACTCATAAGCATAAAAATGAATTTTATTGAAGGACTGGATTTTGTTTGAGTTTGTTTCCTTAAATATGCCTTATAAAGGTAAGGTGAGATGTGTTTATCCAGGTTTGTGTATATTTGAAGTAGAAGCATAAGCAAAAGTGAGGAGGCAGGAAGGACAGGTAGAAGAAACAGGGGGATGGAGATACTGAATTTTCTCTCAGGATCTCGCTCTCCAACTAGATAAAAATCAATCTGTTTGGTAGCTATCTCATAGCAGAATTATGCTGGGTTTCCTTTGATTCAGGTGTAATTGCAAACCATGTTGCATTGTCTTCTGTTGTGATTTTATTTCCTGATTGACTTCCTAATGTTGCTTGTGTGTTTCATGTTCTCAGTGATCACACTTCTGTTATATGAATCTATTCTCACAACTATGGTTTATTTAAGCCAATTACGATGGAAGTATTTTCAAATACTCTCAAAGTTTCCCCTCTGTTCTGGTATTTCAGATCTGACCAGATTAGTGGTATTGGCATTCTCCACATTTATACTTAAATAGAAGATGTGTATCTCTATACAAAAAATACGTGTATCTCTGCATCTGCTCTATTTTAAGAATTTTTGCAAAGTGACATGCAGACAGCAAGGCCTATACCTACCAAAGGAGAAAAATGGCTTGGAAATGAAGAGGAAAACTTGGTTGTCAGAGAGAATGATAATGGAGGTCATATAAAAAGTCTGTCAAATGAAAGGATGAAAAGAAAACAGTCCAGGGTGTAGTGTTTGATTCCTGTGACATCAAGAATGTTTGCTGTTCAGAAGCTGTGTTGAAGGGTTCTGTTGCCTGGAGCTTTAACGAATTTTCAGCTGATAGAAGTGTTTGAATAAACTCTTTAAGAGATTGCAGTAGGAATGTGGATTTTTGATTGATTTACCTTGCTTATGTCCTGCTGCCTTGGAGATGAGATCTATCTGCAGTAAATTTCTAGTCCAGTCTTGCATAAGGGAGATGTACTGACAGACTGTAAAAACTGCTCCTATTTTCATCAAAAGTTTGACTGTTTTATTAAGAAATGTGTCTAAAACTTAAATTTTATGGAACAAAGAATGCAGAATATATTTTTACAAAATCATCATTAACTTTGAAACTCCTTTTGTTTAGTTTCGATTATGAAGATGCAGGATACCAGGAAGCAGACCTTATCAAAATGGATATTCTTCTAAATGGAAATCCAGTTGAAGAACTGGCAACGATCATACACAGGTAGGTTGACTGGATTCTCTAATCCAAAGAAGTAAGACTTCCTATTAATATACAATGAGAACATACATATGTATCACTAATATATGAAAAATATGCATGAAAAGAGCATTGGGGATTTCACTATCTCACCACTTTTGGAAATGATCTGAAAAAGAGAGGCATTTAAGTGCTAGATATATTTTTGTGGTTGTCCTGGTAAAAAATATATATTTATATGTCTGGTAATGTAGGGTAGGTAGGAGAAGGAAATGCAAAATGCTGATCTTTTAAGGAACTGGAAAAATTTAAATACAGACCAGTCTAGGAGATGCCAGAGGAATGGTTTATGGCACTTTTTATTTACTACTGAAAAAAAAATTGATTTTCTGCTCCCAGTAAATCCTGTTCCATAGAAGTTTGCTGTTGTCTTGTCTCCAGCCAAAGTACCAGGAGAAGGTAAATATCTACTGGATGTAACTACCTCAGATTTTTTTTTGCTAAAATGATTTGGTTTCTGTAAGTTTCTCAGGAATTACTGGTTTGCTGGTGAGAATAGTGCCTTCATGTTTCCAGCCTCTCCCCTTGTTTTCTTTTGACAAATTCTTTATGAGGCTCCCTGCTGTAACTTCAGCATTCCTTTCCAGTAATCCCAAGATCAACTTTTTCAGGGTTTTTCAGGTTGGTAGGGGTTTCAATTAAAATCCTCCTTGACCTTCTAGTTTAAAATTGCTTTTGAAGCTGTGACAGTATTCAAAATGGCTTCAGTGTGATGGATAATCAGGGTGTTTATTACACATATTTTAAGTTTATTTCAAGACCTGTTAATGCAATCTTATCACCTGTTTGTATGAAACAGGTGACATATAGACCATTCAAAAGATGTAAAATTATGGTCAGATGAGCTTATCTTTTGAGTTTAAAAGAGAAAAACCTCTACTAAAATCCTTTTATCAAACAGTTTAGTCCATGGATGTATTTTTAGGGTTGCATTACTCTTTCTGAAAACGCTGGTGACTTTCTTTTTCAGTGATAAGGCATATGCCACTGGTAAACTCCTGTGTGAACGTTTAAAAGATGCCATACCTAGACAGTTGTTTGAAATAGCCATTCAGGCTGCTGTTGGCAAGAAAATCATTGCAAGAGAAACGTAAGTGAAGCCCTTGTTTCCCTTCTTTTTGTGTGTTTTTTTTTCTCCTTATTTTAAGCTACTTATAATATGGCCTTTTCATATCTTACCTAAATAGTTTTATACATTACAGTACTTTGATTTTACTGTAAAGTCATATTTTTCTTGTATATGCTACTGGACCTCTTGTGGGAAAAAAAAAAACACACACCAAACATTTGAGCTGTGACTATGACTAAGGCTGTATAAATTTAATTGAAAAAAATGTATTTTTTTAAATCGCTTATGGTCAGCATTGCACTTGGTGGGTAGAGTGTGACTTGCAACACCCCATGTGTCCACGTCCTCTTTCGCAGTGGAAAAAGTTTCTTACTACTGAAAAAAATTAGCTAGTTGTGGAATAGTTTAATCTCTGGGAGAGTCAGCAAAAAGAACTGAACTGTGCTATTCCAAAGGAAGTATGTTGCAAGCTGAACACAACTATTTCTTGTCAGCACTCAGTTCTTTTAGAGCAAACCGCTTCCTCAGTGTCGTGTTTCTTGTCACATTTTTGCTGTTGCTGTTTAAATAGGATTTAAATTGTGGTAAAAGAATTAAAGGTAAGGAGCCAAGCAGAGGTGCTGTAAGAATTTGTGCGTATGTATCTATATACACACATAGGTAATACCTACTGTGAATCATAGCAGAAATCCTAGATAAAAAGGCAAGACTGTAATTTTTATGTACATATTATACAGCCTAAGAAATGTGAATTAAGTCTTCTGTTTAGAACTTTCTTCTGTATACGAAATAGGAAAATGTCATTATTCCAGTGCATCTTACAAAGCTAGTAGAAAAACAATACTCAGCATTTTGACAACTCAGTATTTAGCTTCACATAAAGAAGATGTTCTAATGTATTAACATATGTATGTTATTTTATTTCACAGGCTGAAAGCTTACAGAAAAAATGTTGTGGCAAAATGCGTAGGTATTTTTTTCATTTTTTGATGTTTCCGATGTACGTAAACCTAGGAGTCCTGCTAATGTGATGGGCCTGTCTCTTCCTAGAAACCCAGCAAAGGCACGTTTGGCATGTGCTCCTAAGTGCCAAAGGAATATTAACAGATACTTCTAAGCTTTTAACATTGAACCCGTAACCTCTAGTTGCATCTTGCAGTAAGAGTGGATCAGAAGGAGTAACAGCTTTTTCAACATTACACACTTAGAGTGAACTCAACAGAGTGTGCTTGTGTTCACTCCTGTCTCCTCGCCATTTTCTAATAGTTGTAGACATACAGTAAATGTGCGTGTGTGTATGCACACATATGTGTAACCAGAATTGTTTTTTTCAGGTGGTTTAAGAAACTATACAAGTGCTTCTTTAGAGACTTGTGATTAGATTTTACTTGGATAAATTCAGTAATACATCATGATAAGGCCTTAAAGTTGACTATCAGCCAGACTCAACAAAGATGTAGGAAAAACATGATGCTTCTTACTTACATTGTGTTTAGCTCTCTGAAGCAAACATGTTGGCAAAAATTGAACAAGTGTCCCTTCCTCACAACTATTACAGAATTCTTCTGCTAGGCACAGACGTGGGATGGTGTTCATTCACCACTGTGTAACGGTTCATTTAATTTATCTAGTGCTAGTCAAGATGCCACGGTGTATCTTAGCCGACATCCTGCTGCTGTTCCAAGGGGATTTGTGTGTCCTACAGGTTGTTTTAATGTCAGCCAGGCTACTGTGAATATATGTATTTAGTAACGGAATTCAACCCTCAGTAGTCCAAGTGAACATGCTTACTTGCGCCTTTGTACTTTTTAACTAGCAACCTTTTGGTGTAACTATTTGGAGTATAAAATAATCTGTTGTCATAATACAACTAGCCTTTCTGACTGTTTTTAAGCCCTTGAGTTTAGTGTTGCTGAAAAGTACTGCAGATGCATTTAAGCTTACTAAAATGTTTCTCCTCTTCATAGTATGGTGGAGACATTACAAGAAGAATGAAGCTTTTAAAGAGGCAGGCAGAAGGGAAGAAGTTGATGAGAAAAATTGGCAACGTGGAAGTACCAAGAGATGCCTTTATACGTGTTTTAAAGAGACAAACTGACAAATAGAGACCAGTGACATGCAGATTGATTATTCTCAACATTATGCCTCAGTCTACAAAAAGAGCTAATGTATAATTCATCACTGTGAGAGGGAACATGTTTGACTTCAAATGGTGTAAATGAAATATATGTGGGAACAGAAGTTGAAAGGACTATGTAGTTAATGTACATATACTTCTAGTTTATCAAATTAAGTAACTTTAATTTTGTAATAATCTAAAAGTTTTCATTGTATTGTTTTCATACTTGTAGCACTTAAATTTTAACGTGTTCTTTTTGCATTGCAAATGTTTGTATGAGGGCACAGGAACACTGGCAAAAAGTTTATAAAAATAAAAGAAGGGTACGTACAGACAAAGGAGGCTAGGTTGGTTTTTTTTTTAATAGTTTGAACTGTTGCCACAAAAATATCAAGCTACTTCCTGTTTTACTTTGTGAAGTTGCTGTTGTAGGAAATCATGATGATGCTGGGAAATCACATCAGGAAAAAGTAATCATGATTTTTTTTAAGTGTACCATGCTATTTTAAACTTGTTAAAGTGTGTCAGTTTAGCATTAATACAGCCTAGCTATGCTAATCTCTGTAGAAATCATAAGTTTTAATATACTGAAAACAAAGATATATACCCAATCCACAAATAAACCTACTTCAGGCCTTAAACAATGCCTTTGGCATGAAGGTTTGGTTAGAACATGTCTTGGTGTACTTACTGAAGTTTTACTTGCATTGTTCACATACGAAAGTTTGTTAGTGAGTTCTCATGAGAAAGCAGTGATTATGTGTGCTTAATATACCTCCAAAAGCAACAGCTTGTATCATAAACACAAGTTAATGACCATGCTATGTACTGCTTTTACAACTGCATGCCCACCTCCAAAAGCTTTTAAGCTGCTTTTTTATTTTTTTAGATATTCAGGGAAAATCTGGGTCTTCACAGATCTTAATTTCTTATTACTAAATATATTTTAGAAAACAAAGTGCTAGTATTGCCTACTGAAGTACTCAATCATGAGGAAAGGCTGCTCTTAAATCTAGGCTTGTAACTACAGTTTGAGATTGATCAATCATAAGATAGTTCTTTTATTTCAACCTGAGCACAAGGATGAATTGGGAAAATCCTTGGAGGGATGGAAGTGAACTGGACACCTTCAGAGGTCCCTTTCAACCTATATTACTCTCAGTCTACAGAAAATGAGGGAGGGAATTCTGATACTTTAGTGGTTTGTTGGGGTGTTTTTTTTGTTGTTTGGGTTTTGGTGGGTTTTCTTTGAAGCTGTTTCAGCTGTACTGAACAAGGTATCCCACATTTCTAATTAATCTACATAAGCTGCTGCTACTCCTGAAGAAAGGAAAAAT